GTGACGACGTGACGGGAGAATAATGTGTGTGTAGATAGAGAGTTATTGAACTGCAGTCACAGGGTATTGTTGAAGTTAACGTTCGTTCGTTATAGTGTTTATTTTAGCGCGAATATTGAAATTAAGTGTATCGTAAAGTTGTATTCGGAAAGAATAAACCAGTTTTATTAAGTAAGGACTTGTGTCGCTAAAGTTTCGTCAGAACGAAGTTACGGAAAGTTAATTAACAAACGGAGACGTAACAATATTGTTTAGCCCCCCAGTGGCACAGCGGTATATCTGCGAACTTATACTGCTAGAAAGCCAGTTTCGATACCCATGGTAGGCAGAACACATATAGCCCTTTGTGTAGCTTTGAGCTTAATGACAAACAAACAACAATAATATTCATTAGTTATTTATATACTTTTATCATGGACTATGTATTAATTTATGTGAATTAACTTCACTATCACTAAGAAAACCGACGAACAAGCAGTCTATTATTCTTGTTTCTGCAGTGTGTAAAGTAACCTTAACGGACAGAAGAAAAGCCCATCAGTAATTCTACAAACTTACGAATGAAAGCAAAGAAAAAATATGTAATAATATCTAAATTAGTTTTCGTTAAGCACAAATTTACACTTTGGGCTACCTGTGCTGAGCTCACCATGGGTATCGAAACTCGATTTTTCGCGTCATAAGTTTGAGGATTTATCACTGAGCCATTGTGCATCGAGCAATACTAATATGACAAATTAAGTCTCTGATATGGTCATTTTACCAATGATTGGCATAAAGTGTCGTAAATGTTTAAGATGCCAAACATATGAGAAATTTCATATATTTATGCCTTTATTATTTATTTGTGTATGTTTGTATGTTTGTAATTAAGCACAAAGCTACACAATGGGCTATTTGTGCCATGCCCACCACGGGTATCGGATTCTAGCGTTGTAAGACCGCAGACAATTTATTTGTAAAAAGTGTTTCAATAAAAGTTAGTCTTAGTGAAATACATAATCAGAAAATTTCCACAATTTATCTTAAAGTACTACCATACTAATAATAAGTAGGGTAACAACGATTTATAAGCATAACGAAAAGTTTTATTGATGATGGAACATACTACTTTTTTCGACAGAACGTTGGTCTGTGTTCCTTTTCCTTGTGATTATAAATCGTTGTTTGCCTACCTATTTTTATATTAGCATAATACGCTTCCTTACTCGAGTACTACCATACATTACTTTATAAGTAACACTGGTAAGGTTGACGTCATCTATACGCAGAGAGATCCCGCATAAAATATAAATAATATAAATATTAAACAACGTTTAAAAACAATAGAAACTGTTCTAAACCATAAAAATATGTATCATTATTATTTTTGTTCTTATGATATTACTTTGTGAAACAGTAACAATAAATATTTAACTATATTATGCTTCATAATGCGGGATTATATTCTCTACTCTATCTCTGTCGAAAGTGAGCTTGTCGTTGAAGATGAAGTATGTGTATTTTTGTGAAAGTAATCTATTTTAATCTGAAAAATTATTGGAGCTTTTTATCTTAATGAAATATTTTTATTTGGTTTTGATATCCCCTTTTTTTTTCACAGGCTTGAATTGTGTGCCTTTAGTGGGTATAAAATTTACCCTGGACATGGAAAGCGTATGGTCAAGTCGGATGGAAAGGTAAAACTTAGGCCTATAACAGTGTATGTTACAACTTCTACAATTACTTAATTCATGTTTAGTATTGTACATAACAGTTAGAGGCTTAAGGATTTTAGATAGTGGACGTATAAAATAAATCTAGAGATGTAACTGCGTCGCAATCGTTTTTGACACGATGACAGTGATCAGAAAAGTGCCTATTTTGTATATACTGTGTACAGACTATATTGAGGTTTTTTTTTATATTATATACTCTAGTAGTATTAGGTTAAATTAGCCCTACAGACTATATTAATACTAGTAGTAGGGCTAATAGTAATAAATGTAGCATTATCAGACGAATATACCCTATTCAGATCTATGCAATGGCCCATTGTAAAGACAATTTCGTTCAATATTTCAAGAAATATAAAAATTCAGCAAAATATATATCTAACACAAATGGAAACTTATGCACTGTGAGATGTCTATCACAAGTGATTCAAGGAAAATTTTGCACCCACTAATAGTAATAATCTAACCCTTTCACTGCAGTGAATAAGTTAAGGTAATTGTGTATTTTATACTGCTTAATAAAAAAAAATCTCACTTTTAGAAAACTTTTAGAAAATTTACAAAAGTGTGTTGTAACTTTTATATTAACACAAACTGCAATGCTTCCAACTGCATCTTTTGCCATATACGTTATGCCTAACTCCCTTTTTAGTTATACATTAGCCACTTCATACATCACAGTCTCATTTGTCATAAAACAGAAATGGTGTTCTTTGTTTCTATTTAATAAAGAACTATATTTCATCAAGTCATTATGCGAGAGCTGTGTTTCATATACTGTAATTAGGGAGTCTCATAGAATTATAGCTCCTGGCAACAGAAGTATGAGAATGGGAAATCACAGTTGTGAATATATAAATTCCTCATTGTACACCAAACAACAAAAGAATGCGAACAGTACTAATAAATGCTGAATTTGCATGATTTATTTCAAGGCAATCTTATTCCCACTAGTTGTAAATCAGCTTTGAAAAAGTTGCTATGATCACTAAACCTTTCTTCCACCATTTGGTGGCAACCAGCGAGTGAATATTAAAACCAAAAACATGGTGTCGCTCAAATTGGCTGAACCAGAAAGGATCAGTGATACATCAAATGATAGCTCTCTTCATGCACTACTTTGGTCTTGGCAGTTTCATTGGATCCAGAAACATTTTCTATTTGAAAATACCAAAAAAAAACTTTAAAACCATTTATAATTATTTTTAGCTATTGAATTTCTAGAAACAAAGCCATATAATAAACTTTGTGATGTGGATTACATAACGCATATACCGATGCATAAATATGTCTGCCCAAATCAAACAAACAGCATGTTAAAAAATAATGAATGGTTATTGTAAAAAGACTATGTTGGCTTGGTAATAGTGTACTTTACATTTTATCATTGGATATATACAGACAGTATGCTGTCCTGACAACAGTTTGCTATATTTCATATCATTGAGTGTGGCTTGAGAAAAACATGTGCTACAATAGTTTATAATAAAAGTGGTAGGAATGATTTATTATTGACATCATGGAATGATGTCGAATATTTCAAGTTTACAGCCAATGCGATTACAAAATCTTCTATACTTTTATAGGTACACGGGTAAGCTCATACTTCATTTGTAATATTTGGTTGTTGACAGTTTTCATTTCATATATCCATATAATATGAATCCATGTGTATGAGTTCGAAATTGATGGATTTTATTGGGACTTATTTCATCTTGTTTTAACATGGATTTCACACAGTCTTAGGTTACCAGGTAAAGTGGTATTTTGATATCACTCACTGACATTTTGTTAACATTGTACCAATGGGAAGGTTGCATGGTGTGAAAGGTTGATTTACAGGTACGATTTTTAATTGTCTTTTACTAATTATTAAATACAAAATTGAACTTGTGATGTAAATTTGACAGTGGACTCCATTGGTGAGTGAATTGTTTTATTTTCATTATTTAAAAATCACCAAAGTCCCCTATTGTAATATTTGATATTGAGGTTCAAGTATTTCAGACTTCTTGTTTCATTACAAAAACATAATTGCCTCGGGTGTGCAATTTGATATTTGTGTTAGGGATGTATTTTGCTGAATCTACTTTATTATTTCTTGGAATATTTAAGGAAATTGTCCTTGCAGTGGGCTGTTACACCAACCTGAATAGGGCATATCTGGGGCTGAAAGACTTAAATGCCTAGTAGTAGAGCTAGGGTTGAAAAAGTGTCACCTTTTGTTGACATGGTGATGTTGTTGGAAAGATTCACCCAATAGTTTTAGAGATTTTAAGGTTATGGCAAATAACTATTTGGGTTACTAAATGTCATAATGTAGTACATAATTCATAAATTCTCCATGAAACCATTTTACATTTGCCAAAGATACACTGAAGTGAAATCAAAGATGGGTGCACACCATATTTAAAAAAAATCATGTTAACTCTTTTCAGCATGGGCTCCATCCCTGGGATCATCGACCTCATAACCATTTTGTGCTTTTTATAGTTTTCATGCTACAACTTTTAATATAGTAAGCACACTTTAACGAAATTTGGCAGATTATCAGTAAACATTACAATGCTTTCATAGGCAAGATATAATTTATTAAGTCTGAAGGTTTGTTAAACAATGTTTTTCTCATGCCTTTTTTTCCTTTTTGCATGTTGCCTATCCAACATGCAAAGTAATTTTCATTTTAAGATTAAAAATACCTTAATGCATCAGAAACTTTTCAAATTTCACATATGAAATCTTTATAATGTCCAGATAGTTATCAAATATTTCTTAAGAAATGAACTTTATTAATGAATCTTTGCACAGGTTTGGTCAATATGACAGATCTCATAGCCACCATTAAGAATTAGGAGATAAATATAAATTATGCCTCTTTCATTCTAGAATGACAACAAATTATAACACTAAAACATAAATGTTTAGATTAAATAGCTTAAGTCTCATAACATTATACATTTGTATATATTTATTATATTGACCTTTCAGCCATGCCTGGCTAACAATACAGAAGTTACAATGACAAGGCGCATGCACTCATGTTGCTGTATCCAGTAATGTAAAACTGACCTTTAGTCTCTACGAAGTAGCTTGTATTGGCTGTGTTTTAATCGACTAACAGTTTGTAAAATAGTCACATTTCCATTATTATACATTATATATGTATATAGATTGTTGCTGTTTGGAAATAAGTTATTTGCTTGTTTTTCTTAAAACATAGAACAGTAAATATAGAAGTAAAGCAAACAATTATCTTTACTAGTTACAACCTTTGTACTTGGTTGCTAAGCCTTTTAACATTTCGAACATGGGGGATATGAAATGAACAAATTTTTTTAGGTTTTATATATACAGTTGAATAACCAAAAATCATAAATTACTGTATTGATACCATAGAATTCCACTATAATTTATGAAGTTTGGTTATTAAGCCGTGTTTGGGTCTTACAACCTGCCTCCTTGAAATCATGGTTGGAAAGAAAGAGATGGCATCCTAACATATGAAAATGGCTGAGAAAGCCACTAGGGGGACATTCTGAGCTTTAGAATGATTATGCACATGTCATATATTGAAGTAAGTGTATATAAGGGACTGTTTCCAAAAATGTACAGAGGTGAGCAGGTCCACTGTGTTTGATTCATTACATGAGTGATATATCAGCAAAGAGAAAAGATAGAAGGTTCTTATTTTATATTCTAGCTTGTCAATATCAGTAACTTGAGTTTTTAATTTGTACAAAACTATAGCTTAATAGTTTGACATCACAAAAAAACACAAGTATAAGATCTTAAAAAAGACAGTTTCCCTGAAAGAGAGCTGAAGGCTGCCTTGAGGAGTCACCTAATTTAATCAGTTGCACCACTATACAGTAGTGTGTTGTCTGTCAGTCAGTCAGTAGACACTAAAATGGCATTGTATAAGTGACGTTGCAATTTGTACTGTCATGACGTAAGTAAAATGTGGACATGCCACGAATTATGCACTTTGTGGGTTACAACATGTCATGACATGAAAGTCTGTTTAGTTCAGATATAATTAATTTATTTTGTGAGTAAATATTTTATTATTGTTTGGTTTTTGTTATAATAAGAGTTAAAAGTGGATCATTGTAGGAAGTTGTGTTTATGTTGAGAATATCAAATGTTGTGTGCAATACATTGATGTTGAGGATATAGATTTCTAGAAGGTGGTCAGACCATTAAGTGATAAACATATAAATAGTGTGTGATGAGTGGAAACAGCAGACAGACAATTGCTGAAGAGAGTAAAGTTACGGTTAAGAAAATGTTTGGTGTGAAGTTAACTACTGTAGAAGTGATAGGCCTAATGTTAATATGTTCAGAGTAAGACTAATAGTGGAAAAGGAGATAAGAAAAATAATTTATTCCTTTAAAGCAAGGTACTAAAGTAACTGAATCAGCCTGAGTGCACTTTGACAAAAGGAACAGAGGATATTTAGAAGAAAGGAGACCAAACGATTACTGTAACTTGTGCCAAAATTTTAAGTGAATCACACGTGGAATACTAGTGTGATAGTAATAGAAAAGATAGTTTGGCTTGTCAACTACAATTTTAAAGCAATTGAATAAGCCTAAGTGGACTTTTGACAAGAAGATATATATATATATATATTTATAGTGTTTATAATATGCCTATAATCTCTATAGTTAAACATGTTCCAAATATATATATTATTTTGAAAACAAGTGAAGTGCGTATTGTTAATTTATCGTTGAATATTCTTTTCCAAAACAAAACAGTTTGTATTAAGTGTTTTGATTTTTTTTTAAGGTCTACCAGTTTTTAAATGCAAAATGTGAAGCATCCCACATGATGAAGCGTAACCCTCGAGAGATAACCTGGACAGTGTTGTATAGGCGTAAACATAAGAAGGGATTAGAAGAGGAGGCAACCAAAAAGAGAACCCGTCGAACAACCAAGTTCCAGAGGGCTATTGTTGGTGCCAGCTTGAATGACATCATGGCTAAACGTAACATGAAACCAGAAGTGAGGAAAGCTCAAAGAGAACAAGCTATTAGGTAAGTCTTCTAGTAAAGTATCTAATTAAGTTTATTTACTGAAAACTACATATTTGAAACATGCATATATATACCCCCTCCCTAACACATACATACATGGCAAGATAGAAATGGAGCTAACTCCAATATTTTAGTCATATGAGTATCATACCATGTTGTGGATCATAGTACTTTATTTATTACTAAGTAACTCTTGGGAACTTGTTTGGGGAATGCTTGATACCTAGGAGCCATTTTGAAGCAATAGAGAGTTTAGTTCTCCAGCTTCTCAAGACGTTGCAAAACTGATTTAGCAGCTGATGTATGACATACATTTTCTTGGTTCACATAATGTTGTCAGAATTTACTTTTCTCTCATTCAATTCCTGATTATAATAGTTGCTGTAGAAAAAATACTCATTTCTTTTACCTTGTTTTGATTATAGTGTTTTATATATTTCAAAATAGAGCTGCAAAAGAAAAGCAAAAGGCTGAAAAAGCTCAAAAGAAGACAACTGCACCTCAAAAGGTGAGTTAAGTGTACCATTCACAGATGTTTATAACTGTAGTTTGTTGTTAAATTAGTTATTATATTAACGTTGTGTAATTATCAAAATATTTAGTGGGGCAACATTGCATAATGTGTAATGCTAGGCTATTTGGGTATTTGTAAAGTAGACATTTTACACTGTATTCGTTACTGCTTGAATTGATGTATTTTTGACAGTTATGTAATATTTAGAATTCAAGACATTTGATTTTTTATGTAACAGCTACTATCAGTAAAAGAACAAAACTCTTAGAAATAGCTATTTAAAATGCCTAATTTTTTTTCTGTGCATGTGTTTTCTAGTTTTCAAAATAATTGTTTTTCTAGAAATAAAAATGTGGATTTTAAATTTGGTTTTAGCATACTCTTACAGCACAGCATTTTATTTTACTTAAGTTTTTTTTTTTCATAGTAAAGAAACTTTTTTTGTTAATACCATATAGTATAAACAGAGCTTCCTCTTTTTGTTGCTATTGTTGTCTATAGCCTGCTGTAGAATATCATGCATCTGATAAATAAAACAATACAGTACTAGTTTCGATATCTGATGCAACAAGTTCTTGGGTGTTCTATACTTTGAAATTCACATCAAATTACTTGGTTGTACGAGGTTAAATTGTGTAAAAGCAACTTGAAATTACTTATTGGCTGTCTTGAATTCCAGTTGCCTCATTCACTTTTAAATGTGAGAAGACATTTATTGGTCCATTATAAATAGATGTAAGCAGTTTGTATTATATATTTTATGTAATATCCAGAATGAGTCTCAGCTTTGAAACTAAAGAATATCTTCCAAAATACTATCTACTTGCCTCTTTACTGTGTACTTCTAAAGCATTATATTAGTTTAGTATAGTTTTATATTTCTAGTTTAGAACTAAAATTGTTCCTCTTACAGACTCAGAAGATGGCCTCTAAACAAAAAGCTGCAAAACCAGTCCAGGTTAAGGCCCCTCGTGTTGGTGGAAAACGCTAGTTCTGTATCTTGAGGAAAATAAATAGATAACCCTCCCAAAATTGCTTGTTTTTTTGTTATTAATGTTTAACAATACACCAGTATGTATAAAAAAAGACTGCATATTGTTATGCACTGTACTTGTACACCAAGGTTAAAAATTTCTTTGCATCACTCAGTGTAAAAAAAAAGGATGTATTGACCTTATAACAGGGTTTAAAAGGTTCTGCTTCTATCAGGAACTGAGAGACTGATCATTGAAAATTGTACTTCATTCTTGTACCATGTGAAACTGGTATTTACTTTTTCTTATATTACTAGCACAAAACACCCTAGTTCCACTCACTGTGTGATTCTAAGGTCCCCTCATGATTCACAGAGGCCTCAATGTACCAGTCAAGTGTCTCCATTATCTTAATTACTTCTATAGCTATCCCAGTGTGCAAATTCTTTAACTGGTTTGTCTGTTGCCATTTCCTAAACGTAATGCAACTCTTTTTAATAGCAAATAGTTTTAATTTAGCTTTTCATATTCGTTTTTCTTCCTGTGTTTTTATTGAATTCTTTTCATTTTTTGATTTCTCCAATATTCTCTGATACATATTTTTCTTCCCGCTGTTTGTTTCCATTTACCAAACTTAGTCCAATTCAACTTTTTTATAATTCTCAGAATTCTATTTTTCTTCGTATGTTTGTGTTGAAAAAGAGTATTTGGCCAGAAACCTCCACATATTGTTCATTCAATAAGTGGCATTAGAAAAAAAATATGGTACTTTCTACAGACCTTCAGGAAACAGAATTATGGAGCATAAAGGCTATAGGGCAAAAAAATTGACCAGCATTTTTGTTAGTCAAATCTAAAAAATAATACCCAGATGCACATCCTCAGTATACCCTTAGTATGTGTGGAAAGTTTCAGGTTTCTAGGTTCTTTCCTCATGGAGCTGTGGTATTCACACATACAGACAGGCTCTTTTATTATTGTAGAAACAAATCTCAAAAAATAATACCCAGGTGAACACTCTCAGAATTCCCATAGTAAACATGCAAATTTCAGGTCTCTAGGTTCTTTCCTCTTGGAGCTATAGAAGTCATCACAGACAGGCTCTTTTATTGTTATAGATTTTTTTTCGTGTGTGTGAGATATTGAAAAACAATATATATTCATTTGGGAACAAATAATTTTGTTCTTTGGGGAAAAAAATTATGTATGCTTATTAATCTTGTGTTGTTCAATTATTCTTCATAAGACTTCTGATAGGCAGTCACTAAAGCACGTAGAGATTTATGTGAGCATGCACATTGTTTTGCTTGTAAATATATTGCCAAATACTATTGATAAGAGAGGGTTACAGTAAAAATTAGTCCACCAGTAACTCACCAATGCTAGAAGCATTAAAAAAAGTTAATTTGTAACATTTAGTTTGACTATTAGCCCTAATTATACATGTGTAGTTAGAAAGTGTTTAGGATTGTTTTAAAAAAGACTAGACCTTTAAATCCCTAAAATTAATGTAGGAGTTAAGTATTGTAAGAAATGCTAAAATAATTATACACAAAAAATTGTACACATTCAGAGAAAATGAATATTTAATATCAAAACTGTTTCACTACTTTATTGCATAATGAAAACTAATAATACAGGTGATTGTTATATGAAAATAGTCAACCTCATTAGTAGATAACTTGTCAGAAATGTCTGAACAAAACATTGGATTACAGAATAGAATAATTTATAATTATACAAGAGGAATAATGTTATCAGTGTATTGAAATTATTTGAACCTCAAATGTAAAATATTATGGGTTATTTAAGCTTTAACAGATTGGAGTCAGAGTTAAAGAAGCTTTTGAGATGTGTGTACGTGTAGTCAATTGATGCTTTTACCTAAAGTACCCTCACCTGAAATGGAAAAAAGTCAACAGATGACTTAAAAAACAATGGCATACTTAGGAATTAATTTCTTGGGGTGGCAACAACCTCTTAATGTATTTTAGTATATGAAAAAGTGAACTAATTTCTGAATGATTGTTTTGAGAATAGACATATTCTGGTAAAGATGAACCTTTTCAGTTGTTATAAGTGTAACCCCACAAACTGCTAAGTTTATCATACATTCCTACTCTCGTAAGCCCAATCTGCAGAAGCAGACAAGTTCTGGTTAAGATAAATTGTTCACTATATATTTACAATTTTGTACTAATGTTAAGATATAATTTTTACACCATACATAATTATTTAGATCTATATAGCAAATTTGAGTGTAACATTTTATTGAAAACATCTTGTTCTGTCAAAACTTCAAAAACAGTATATATCACGTACAGCGTCAATCTTACATTTGGCAATTGAGTACTTAAAAAGATGGCTCAACTTTGCGTATTATGAAAGGTAAGGGAAAAAAAACCTTAAACTTCTGGGTTGACAAATAGAGTTGAGAATCTTAACAACTGAATCTCCATTCTTCCTTCTGTCCTTGGTCAGTACAGGTATGTGATGAAAGTACATGCATCACAATGTTTTACGGTTATACTTAAATTTTAGACTGACCAATGTATATCAATAAACTTGGCATCAAAACATAGTTTACAATACAAATGTTATTGTTATACAAGTTTTAATTCCTTAATTTCAACATGAAATACTGAAATAAATTCTAAAATTTCATGTCTGTATTATGTGACTGTTCGCTACAAGTTACTCGTTTTCTAATTACCCTTATGTGATATTTTGAGTTTAATGTAAGCTACACATTTATAGTACAGCAAAAGAATGACAGGCCAAACGTACTAAATTTTTTTTTATATCACTTGTTATAAGACATAAAGTAACTAAAATATGACAGTTAGAAGCTTAATGTGTTAAATAAGAAAAATCAAGGAAAAAAGTTCAATAAAAAGAATTTCACATTGAGACTTGCAGGTAAGATGTTTGTAAGTTTGCATAATATACTTTAAATCATTTGAACTAACTAAACTGCTCAACATTTAACACATTGTCATGCTTACCTAGAAAAATTTAATGTTATAAATCCGGTGTGCTGCAAAAATCTATCTTGAAAATTGTATTTTAAGTACCGTAAACAGTTACTTGATAATTGTGAATTGTTTTATATATATATATATATACATATATGTACTTGTGCATCTGCAGATGAGTCTGTTTTAATTCATTGTTATTGTGTTATTCCAAATTTGAGATACTTATAATAAAATAAAAAGACTGAATGGGGGACATGTACAGTAGACTGTGTATCACAACATATTCAGGTTATTAAGAATATGCTGACAAGATATTGTTTCAAGTTGTATATTTTTAATGTAATTTGTTTGTTAGCTGGTTAGCTCTGGATTTAATTATAGCATTAAGATTGGAAGGTTAACTAAGCTTAAAAACTAGAAAACTCTTCACTTAAGGCTGTGACTTGAAGTTTCTAGGATATTCAGAAGTACATTACATATATGAAATTGTTATAAGGAAAGATTGATTTATAAGATGGCTGAGACAATGGGCATGGCTGCTGTGTCTCTAAATAAAATAAAGCTTTAGGCATCGTATATATAACTATAAGCTCCATATATATAATCTATATGGGTGTAGATAGAAGATAGCCTAACTTTATGAACATATACTGTTTATTTACAAAGGTACATTTGTCAGTCAATGTTTATTTACAGAAAGCTAAGAATTTGCCGTAACTTGTATAATAACTGATAGTAAAGCCAGTTTGAGGACTAAAAACTTAAATAGTTATTTCATTCAGTTTGATGATAATTGCCAAAGCCACTGGATTTGAAATAGGCCTACTAAGTTAAATTGTAAATATTGTTTATGTAGTGTCATACTCTACATGAATGTTATAACTTTAAAAAATCCATTTGGAAGCAATATAGAGTCAATAGACAAATTGTTAAAATGCATTGGAAATATACAGAGCATTTCATGAAAATTTATATGTACAGGATTTCTACAAAATGCGTAAAAATATACATATACAACTATTATTTCTTGTGATGTAATTGTTTGCATATCACATGTGCCTCTATAGAAAAAAAGACCTAAAGACGAGGTTATAGCTAACCCAGGGTCCATTAGACTTCACATGAGTGAAAAGAATAAGTTGTCTAACTTAGCAACAGCACAATCAGTACTTTTTTCAAGTACATGTGTGTTGATTTCCAAATCTGTTGATATGATGGAGGTATAATATATATAACCCATACAAACTAAATATTTTCTTAAAATGTTGGTCATTATTTTTATTAATATTTACACATCAATGAAAACAGGGCCGATGTATAAATACATTTTTTGTTACTATGTAGTTGTTTCATCCATTGTTCTTCTACTTTCATATTGTTATTTACATGAACAGTGTTTGTAATTAAACATCCTATCACCTTTAATAAATCTCAGGCTTTGTATTCTATAAATTGTCCAAATCAATTATATTCAGATCTAGTTTTAAATTATACATGTATTTGATCCAGTGGGTGTGTTAGAGTTTCATCATTATGGACCATATTGTTAGAGAACTCTTCATTCTGTACTGGTTTGGGACCACAGATTAGCATTTGGCATACAAGGGGGTAATTTAAAATGCTGGTAAGGAAATCTGCAAACAGGTAGATTTCATGTAGGGGATTAAGAAAGTAAGTTGATAGGAATATTATGATGTGAATTTCTTGGGGCATACTAGTCTTTAGAAGACCAGGAACACCTTTACTCGATATTTTGCTTCTTATTAGATACATTCAATCAGTTATGAGGGTTTTTTCTATATACCTGATAGCAGAATTAGACTCAATGTTGTAAGTATGATTTTATGGGTAACTAGAATTTTGCATGTGTTGCTGTGACTGAGGTATTAAAGTAAAAGATCAACTGTAGTCATCATGTTTTGACATCATCATCATACAAACCCTTATGTGATGATACATACTACTGTACAAATATTAATTTTTCTGAAGATTTATCAGAAATACATTAAAAAATTTTGGCTAATGTTCATACATTTTTTCTCAAATTTCTACTTGGATCTATACATACTAAAAGCCCTGT